ACTCTGTTGCCCAGGCTGGAGTGCAGTGGCATACTCATGGCCACCCCAGCGTCTACCTGCTGGGCTCCAGTGATCCTTCTGCCTCAGACTTCCAAGTCGCTGGAACTACAGGTGTGCGCTACCATGCCCGGCTAAATTTTTTTATTTATTGTAGAGACGAGGTCTTGCCAAGTTGCCCAGGCTAGTCTTGAACCTGCGAACTCAGGCAATCCTCTCACCTCGGCCTCCCAAAGTGTTGGGATTACAGGCTGAGCCACTGAGCCCAGCCTTTTTTTTTTTTTGATGTGGAGTTTAAGAATTTAAGGAGAAGGCTAGCCTGGGCAACTTGGCAAGACCTTGTCTCTACAATAAATCAAAAAATTAGCTGGGTGAGGTGGCGTGAGCCTGTGGTTCCAGCTACTTGTAGATTTAGTATTTTGAAGTCATTAATATTATAAAGGGCTCAGAATATTGATCTTTGGAGGGACCCTTTCTTTCACAATAGGACCTGATCATTTTTCTCACTTCTCACTTCTGTTGTCTCTCCTACAATTTCAGAAACTGGCTCCCTCAAAAGCCACCTTTGATTGACACCTTTGATCCCACCCCGTCCACTTGGGGCTGCCTGCTCTCAGACCGCGTCCATTTCACCTCTGACACTCTGCTTTACTGCTTTCTTGTTTTTCTGTTAATGTTTGTAACTTTATCATTTTAATAAAAATGAGTTGCACATCAATTATTTAACAAAAGGCCACTCGAGTAATATAGAGAAGAAAGGTACACGTGATCTCAAAACTAACCAGCCAGAAAAGCAACTAGACAAGTATGAATATGTGATGAGCATCTCTCCAGCTCCTTCCAAACACCTCTGGGCTTACATGCAGACTGGATAGAGGGTTCAGGAGAAGCATCTCACTAAATGGGTCATGGTGTTTTCCTCTAAACTCTGTCACTGGAGTCCTTTTCTATTCTGGCCTGGGTGCTCTGGAGACCTCTCTGCTAGCCTCCTGTTTTCCTTGCTCTTGGACTGTCTGTCTTCTTGACTTATGTTTTTCTGCCTGGATGTGAGAAGCAGCTTCCCCTCATCCTTGTCTCAGTGTCCTCTTTCTATTTTTTTCTGGTTTCTGTAGATGTAGACTTGCTTCTTTCCTGATGTGGAGACACTTTCCTGCATTGTATTATTTTAGTCCCAGCATTTATCCTTATGTTGGCTCATTGCTGACCATCCTTCCTGTCTACTGATGTCTCCCTACCTTTAATAATTACTTTCTCCTCTGCCTTCTCTGGGATTGCCATTTGCATTTTCTCTGGGTTACTAACTTAAGTTTCATCTCTTCTGTTATATTTCAGATCTGTTTACAAGATTTGAATGCTATTGTCTTGTTCTCAGTTTATAACCTAGACCCTATAATACCCATTTTTTTCTGATTCTTTTAATCACATTTGATTTATTTATATATTTTTTTTTTTTCAGTGTTTTTTTTTCCCCTTTGGTAAAATATACATGACAGAATTTACCATTTTTTGGCTGAGTAAGGTGGCTCACACCTGTGATCTCAGCACTTCGGAAGGCCGAAGCAGGAGGCTTGCTTGAGGCCAGGAGTTTGAGGCCAGCCCAGGCAACATAGTGAGACCCCGTCTCTGGAGTGCAGTGATGTGCTCATGGTCACCGCAGCCTCAACCTGCTGGGCTCAGGCGATCCTTCCGCCTCAACCTTCCAAGAAGCTGGAACTGGAAATGGTACTGGCCACAATGGAGCTGGTACTGGCCACCATGCCTGGCTAATTTAATTTAATTTACTTTTTTTTATTGTAGAAATGAAGTCTCACCATTTTACCTATGCTGCCAAGCTGATCTTGAACCCTTGGATTCAGGCAATCCTCTTGCCTCCGCCTCCCAGAGTGCTGGGATTACAGGCGTGAGCCACCATGCCCAGCAAAAAAAAATTTTTTTAATCAGCTGAGTGTGGCCGGGTGCAGTGGCTCATGCCTATAATCTTAGCACTGTGGGAGGCTGAAGTGGGAGGATTACTTGAGCCCTGGAGTTCAAGACCAACCTAGGCAACAAGACTTTGTATCTACAGAAAACAAAAAAATTAGTCAACTGTGGGTGGTGCATGCCTGTAGTCCTGACTACTTGGGAGGCTGAGGCAGAAAGATCTCCTGAACCCAGGAGGTTGAGGCTGTGGTGAGCTGTGATTGTGCAACTGCACTCCAGCCTGGGTAACATAGTGAAACCCCAACTCAGGAAAAAATTTAGCTGGGTGTGTTGGTGTGTGATTATAGTTTCAGCTACTAGGGAGACTGAGACAGGAAAACCTCAGCCCAGGAGTTCGAGGCTGTAGTGAACTGTAATCACAGCCCTGCGCTCCAGCTTGGAGTCTTTTATTCTTAAACTTGGGCATCTTTATTTATTTGTGTCTGCTTTTGTTTCAGCAATGTCCTTTTTTTGTTTTCAGTATACACGTCTTTTGCCTTTTTGGTTAAGTTTATTCCTGGTTCTGTACTTTTTTATACGGTTACAAATGGAATTGTCGTCTTAATTTCCTTTTCGTGTTGTTCATTGTTAGTATATGGAAATGGAACTTGGCTTTTCTGAATCAGGGTGTCACTCCTGTTGTCTAGTTGGAGTGCAGTGGCACAATCACGGCTACCACAGCCTCAGCCTGCTGGGCTTAGGCAGTCTTCTGCCTCAGCCTCCTGAGACTATAGGTGCGCACCCCTGTACACAGCTAATTTTTTTATTTATTGTGGAGACAATAAACCAGCCTGGGCAACATGGCAAGACATGTTGCCCAGGCTGGTTTCAGACTCCTGAGCTTAGGGATTCCTTTCACTTTGGCCTCCCAAAGTCTGGATTTATAGGCATGAGCCACCGCACCTGGCACAACTTGATTTTTGAGTGTTGGTTTTGTATCCTAAAACTTTGCTGAATTGTTTATTTAGTTCTGACAGTTTTTGTGGGAATCTTTAAGATTTTGTACGTAGTAGACCCTGTACCTTGAGAAGAGCGATCGTTTTGCTTCATTCTTGGCAGTTAGGATGCCTTTTGTTTCTATTTCTTTTGTTCACTGCTGGCTAAGACTCCAGTATAATTTGAAGGCAACTTAGTCTATGATTTTTGAAGCATGGACATAAATACAGAATCTGGGCTTAAACTGAATCCCTGGGCTATGGGCTGCTGGTTTGGTTTTTATGAAGCTCAAGTGTCATTGTTTATTGTTTTTGCTTTATCTTTCTTGTAGAAAATTAATGAATTAATAAAGAGACCCAATGTTAGCCCCAAAGTGAGAGAACTTTTAGAGCAAATCAGTGCTTTTGACAACGTTCCCAGGAAAAAGGCAAAGTTTCAGGTATGGATTGGATTGACTTCCCTGAATGAAGGGGCTGTGTGACCTACCAGCGACTGAGCTGACGTGTAGCTATCAAAATGTGATAAATTTTTGTTGTTTTTATTGTTTCTTACAGAATTGGATGAAGAATAGTTTAAAAGTTCATAATGAATCCATTCTGGAGCAGGTGTGGAATATCTTTTCTGAGGCATCCAGCAATGTAAGTAGGATCTAATTTTAGGTTTGCAGTGTAGCAAAAATGATTAGTAATAATGAGATGGGAATGTCTTATTTTTGGAGGCCCAGACAGCCTTTTTCAGAGAGCCTCTTTGTGCCTTCATTTATGGGAAGGAGTAAATTGAGTGCATTGCAGAGAAGATTTCCTTATTGTGCGGAGAAAGGTATCTAATCCCAGTGTTTAATAATAGTACCAGATAACATGTAGGGATTTGCTTAGAAATCAGACAATGGGATGCAAAGAGTAGGAGCTTTGGGTTTCTGACAGACTTGTTTTGAATCCGTGCTATACTGTGTGCCTAATATTTGATCTTGGGCATATTATTTAACATCTGAGCCTTAGTCTTCCTATCTGGTTTTTTTTTGTTGTTGTTTTTGAGTAAGAGTCTCACCCTGAGGTACAGACAGGCTGGAATGCAGTGGCACACTCATGGCCACCACAACCTCGAGTCTTCTTATCTTAAAAAATGTGGATAGTAATATTCATTCATTTATTTAATACTTAACTGAGTACCTGATCTGCACCAGGGCCTGAACAAAAAGTCTAAGGTATCTCAGGTGCTGGTGGTGGAGCTGTGAAGAAAAATAAGACAAGGTGAGGCTGTAGTGACTGGGTGTTCCTCTAGGTGAGGGTTGAGGCCACGGGTGGCCCCTTAATGTTATAGCACTATACTGGGTAGATGAAGACACCCAGTATTTTCTAGGCATTCAGTCCACGTGCAGCACCTTCCTTCTGCAGGAGGGAGGATTCTATTCAAGTCATTGGATCAACTGCCTGTTAGTGAAAACGGCTTGGTAGGGAGAGGTGCCAAATGTGGAATACACACATAGAAAGTCTTGGTTTGATATCTTTTAGCCACATCATGGGTTACATTGTTAGTTTTTTTTTTTTTTTTTTTTTTGAGTTGGAGTCTCACTCTGTCGCCCAGACTGGAGTGCAGTGGCCGCTTCCGGCCACCGCAGCCTCGACCTGCTGGGCTCCGGCGATCCTTCCGCCTCAGCCTTCCGAGTAGCCGGGATTACAGGCATGCGCTACCACGCCCGGCTGATTTTTGATTTATTGTAGAGATGAGGTCTCGCTGCCCAGGCGGGTCTCGAACCCGTGGGCTCAGGCAATCCACTCACCTCAGCCTCCCAAAGGCGCGGGATTACAGGCTGAGCCACCGAGCCCGGCTACATTGTTAGTTTTTAAATTTTTCCCATTAATTCAATTGCACTTTGCATCTATTTGGAGTTATATCTTATTTAGAGACTTACATCAGTAGTTTCAACAAACAGTGGGATTTTGATTGGTCTTTTCCACAAGTTGATTTGCTTTGTGTAGGGAATAATTTTGGCAGCGAATTGGGATCAAAATGAAAAGTTTATCTTGGCAGTATATCTAGCATTTGTCTCAGAATATATAAATTGGACCTTTGAAACCTTATCACCAATCATTTAATTGGTGTTTATGTGGCACCTATGTTTTTAAAGGTTTGTTTCTGGTTTTTTTAAGCTAAGACTCAAAGATTTGAAATTGCTTATTAGTTCAGCTGCAGGGTTTTAAAAAATTTTTTCCAATTTCCCTTTTGAAGTTATGAGCATATTAAAAATTAAATAAAAGCCGGGCTCAGTGGCTCAGCCTGTAATTCCACGCCTTGGGAGGCTGAGGTGAGTGGACTGCCTGAGCCCGCGGGTTTGAGACCCGCCTGGGCAACTTGGCGAGACTTCATCTCTACAATAAATCAAAAAATTAGCCGGGTGTGGTAGCACGTTACTGTAGTTCCAGCTACTTGGAAGGCTGAGGCGAAAGGATCGCCAGAGCCCAGGCAGGTCGAGGCTGCGGTGGCCAGGAGTGGCCACTGCACTCCAGTTTGGGCAACAGAGTGAGACTCCAACTCAAAAAAAAGAAAAAATTAAATAAAATAGCCAGGTGCAGTAGTTCACACCAGTAATCTCAGCTACCTGGGAGGCTGAGACAGGAGGATAGTTTGAGCCCAGAGTTTGGGACCAGCCTGGGCAACATAGTGAGACCTTCTCTCTAAAAAATAAAAATTAAGTTAAATTCCAATTAAATAAAATGATCAGGAAACAACTCTATAACGTATGTATTGCTTCACCTTTGCCCAGTAGCCTCCCAGCACACCCCTGGTGTTTGCAGTGCAAAGCAAAAGGTTCTGGGACTTGGTTCACCTACGCCTCAAACGCTTATCCTCCTATAGTAACTACGTGCCAGGCGTCCGGTTGGGTACTTTCCTGTTGTCCTCCACCCCGTTGCAGTTAGCTCCTGGTCCCCACGGGTACAGCCGTCATTAGGCCAAGGCCCTTCCCGCGTGGCGCTGTAACCTTGGGGGCAGGCAGGCAGCCATGTGCGTGGGTCCTGGTGTAACGTCGGGTCCTGTTAAGCGCTGTGAGGAAGCAGGAGGCAGTGGGGGGACCGAGACTGAGGAGGTGCTCTGGTCGGGACGAGTCAGGCAAGGCTCGGGGAGGAGTCCCCACGGGGAGGAGAGTGCGGAATGAAGTAGAGAGGAGATAGAGAAGACCTGGTTCTCCGTTTATTGAGCAGCTGACAGATGGGTAAATGTATGTGTGCATCCCTCCCTCCCTCTCTCCTGGTGACGGAGAACTTGGACTTGGTGTCGATTGGGTAGAAGGGAAGCTGAGGTCTCGGGCACTCTGTGACTGCAACAGTATCTCACTAGAAGATACCAACACTGTGGGATAGATGTGAAGTTTCTTTGTCCCTTCTTCCTCCTCGGTGTATTTCTGAATTCATCCTCTGCTGCTTTCCCCCTTGAGCCTTGGCAACTAAACCTTGGCAACGGAGAAAACCTCAGCTGTTGAGTTCTGTATCCATTTTCATTTTTCTTTTTCTTCTGAGTTGGAGTCTCATGGTCACCCCAGCTTCGATCTGCTGGGCTCTGGTGATCCTTCTGCCTCAGCCTTCCAAGTAGCCGGAACTACAGGTGCATGCGACCGTGCCCGGCTAATTTTCAATTTATTGTAGAGACGAGGTTTCACCAAGTTGCCAGGGCTGGTCTCAAACCCGCAGGCTACGGCAATCCACCTGCTTTGGCCTCCCGAAGTGTGGGATTACAGGCTGAGCCACCGAGCCCAGCCCAGTATCCATCTTCTAATGCTGCTTTTCTAGTCCAGGGTTGACCATTAAGGTCTAAGTTCTAGTACTCTAGTGAAAGTTGGTCCTTCTTGATTCAGTTCACTTTGGGGGACAGTAGTTCCCTCCTTGTTACTTTCAGTCTCCCAAAGGAGAAAGACTCTAGGTAACATGCTCTATGTCATCTGGCTGGCAACAGGTGGAACCTGAGCCCAAGACTGCACATGTATCACCTCAGTGGTTTCCAGCACTCCCCAGCAGCTCTGGAGCTGCTGCCGTTGGTCCATTCCCTTCCCTGCCACAGGCATCAGGCCTCTGGGAGGACAGCAGGGACTGAGACCAGGCTGTGCTGACATCATTGTTTTAAATCGTATCTGTGTGCTGAGTTTAATAAGCTAATGCAGTAAATGGAAAGTTTATCTTATTCCAGTGCACATAGTTGTTTGGTTTTCTGTGGTTCCTTATTTACCATTCTTTACACTATGTCCAGGTATCTCCAACTGCTCCTCTAAGGATAACCTTCCAATCTGTATAATGATGATATGCATATCTTTGTCTAGTGTGGTCACTGCATACATTGGGCTGGTTTATTGAACATGCACTGTGCTAAGCCCATGACAGTCTTTTCTCTCTTATTTGTCACGGTGTAAGGTAGGTATTAATTACCTTTCATTTTACAGACGAGGAACTCAGTTCAGAACAGATAAATAAGCTGCCCTGAGTTGGCCTGACTAGTGATGAACAGAACTAGAACTTGAACTTAGGTCTGCAGGCACATAAGTCCATTGGTTTATACAATACCTAAGCATTCTTCTCTTCTTTAATCTAAAAGAATAATGAGCCAGAGTGAAAGAACAGACTTAGTGACATAAGAATTCTTCACTTTTCCAGTGAAATGAGAATGTCTGTTTAAGAGGGGTGTGGGCTGGGGAAGTTTGTTCCCATTCTATATATTTACTCTACCTTTTAGCTGTTGGGAGGGTCCAACTATAAACGGAAAGTGTTGAACCATTTTTCCTGAGTAGTTTATTTAGTAGATACACACAGATACAACTGTGTGCGCATACTTAGGACGTGTGTTTCTTGTTTTAGTTTAGTAAGGGACCGGTCGATAAGGGACAGGATCACCAGTCGTGCAACCAAGTGGCAAACCTGCATGCAGACGTCTCTGTCAAGGCTCCATCCTCCAAAGGGAATGGCACCCTAGAAGAGCAGTCGGAGGTGAAGAAGAATAAGAGAGAGAGGAAGGAGGAAAGGCAGAAGAACAGGAAAAAAGAAAAGAAGGAGCTAAAACTGGATAATAGCCAAGAAAACCCGAAGAATCAGAAGCTTGGGAAGCAAAAGAGGGCACAGGAGGCTGCCCTTAAGGCTGTTGGGGAGGAAACCCCGGAGGCCAACGGCACGGCAGGGAAGAAGAGCAAGAAGAAGCGCCAGGGCAAGCCTGCAGGGGGTGAGCGGGTGACTGGAGGCCAGGGCCCTGAGGAAGACGCCGGCAGGGAAGAGACCGGAGTGGGTGCAGGCAAGCGGAAGCGGAAGCACGCGGAAGGTCGGTGGCTTGCTCGTGTTCCAGCTTCTGTTTAAAAAATGGGGAAGGCTGTGAATCTGGGTCATATACAACCAGTGAGCCTTTGCATTTCTTTTTGCTTTTTGGTGGATGAAGTCTTGCTATGCTGCCTAGGCTGGTCTTGAACTCCCGGGCTCAGGCAGTCTTCCCCCCTCAGCCTCCCAAAGTGCTGAGGTTACAGGTGTGGGCCACCACGCCCAGCGGACCTTGCATTTTGAACTAAGTAAGGGAAAGAGCATCAGCTTTGAGGTCAGGCCCACCTGGGCTCACGACAGGCGGGTGATCTCGCCTCTCGTCTCCCATTGCCTCATCTCGGCGTGGAGGGGGTGAAACCCATGGTGCTGGGGGATTTGGGGAAGAAGTGAGGTGATGTGTGGAGCGTGCCTAACATTAAATGGTAGCTGCTGGTGTACATGCAAAATGTTTTTCAAAAATATCTCTACATGCTTAGTTGAAACAGAGTCTAAGAAGAAAAAGATGAAGTTCCCAGAAAATTCTGAGGGCAGAGAAGAAGGCTTCCAGGCTCCTGCAAAAGGTATCACTGCCGTCACCGGAAAAGTGCCGCTGCGTGTAGGCTGGGGAAGGGGCTGAGGGATGCTGCCTTCGGGGAAGGAGGGGAACCTGGCAACTCTGGAAGGGCCTTACCCTGCAGAGGCCGCGGAAGAATTGAGGCTTTCACACCTCTGCCCCTCTGTCATGAAGGTAAAAGGTTAAGCAGTCTGAATTGTAAGTATCTATTCTCACTGGAATTCGGAATAACTCCAATATGGCTTTCTAAGATCCCTTTCCCCTCCCCATTTCTCTTTTCCCTGCCTCTCATTACTCTCCTAGATGTACCTGAGGCCCCACCAGACTGGCTTCTCCCCTCCCCCCCAGGCCCATTCCTGGGGTCCACCTTCTCCTCCCTGGCCTCAGGGTGCGCTTGTGAGGTCCAGTCTGGCCTTCAGGGCTCCTCTTCAATGCTGCTTCGCACCCAAAGCCTCGCCCGGTTCTTCAGACCTGAAGCCTCCCCTATCCTGGGCGTGGAGAGTCCTCATTGCTCCCCCCCCACCCCCCCTCAGGATCCTGCCAGTCAAGGACAGGCCTGAGGATGCACTTTGGAACTGGCTTTACTGACAGGTTTGGGAGCTGCCAGAGTCGGATTAGATCTCTTAGCTTAAAACCCCCCGCCCGGCTTTGTGTAGCTTCAGTTATCTGCAGTCCCGAGACAGGAAGTGAAAACACTCCAGAAGTAAACCAGTCGCACGTTTTAAACGGTAGGCCATTCTGAAGAGCATCTGTATCTCTCTTCGTGCTGTCCTGCTCTCTCCTTTCTTTGTCACAAGAAGATGGGGAATACAGTAAGGTATTCAGAGAGAAAGAGACCACATTTCCTAACTTTGATTACAGTATATTGTTATTTATAATTGTCTTGTTTATTGTTAGATATAGTTGTTAGTCTCACACTGTGCCTAATTTATCGTCTAAGCCTTATAAGTATGTGTGAATGTACAGGAATAAGCACAGTGTATGGGGTCTGTGCCATCTGCAGTTTGAAGCATCCCCTGGGGTCTTAAAAGGGGACTGCTATGATGGCTCTTTTTGATTAAAATTTTAGTTCTGAGGTCATGGTAGCTTCACACACAGCTGTAAGAAATAATCGAGACATACAATAAGAGACCCCTCCCCCCCCAAAATCCAGAATTTGTTTATAAAAAGTTGTGTTTTGGGGGATCTCTTATCGTAGGCCTCGATTATTTCTTACAGCTGTGTGTGAAGCTACCATGACCCCAAAATCCAGAATTTGTTTATAAAAAGTTGTGTTTTGCCGGGCTCTGTGGCTCAGCCTGTAATCCCGCGCCTTTGGGAGGCTGAGGTGAGTGGATTGCCTGAGCCTGCGGGTTCGAGACCTGCCTGGGCAACTCAGCGAGACCTCATCTCTACGATAAATAAAAAATTAGCTGGGCGTGGTAGCTTGCGCCTGTAGTTCCAGCTACTTGGAAGGCTGAGGCGGAAGGATCACCGGAGCCCAGCAGGCTGAGGCTGCGGTGACCGAGAGCAGCCAATGCACTCCAGTCTGGGCGACAAAGTGAGACTCCAACTCAAAAAAAAGCAAAAAAGTTGTGTTTTCTTATATGTTTAAACTTCAGTCACCTTCAAAGTGTTTAAACTCTTTAAACACCTTTAAACTCTCTGATGCCATACACCTATCAAGACACTTTTTCCACTGCTCAGTGTTTGAACTCTTCCATTTTGATACCTTTTACAGCTTCTGCCATTTTTTGTTTCCCCTCTTCCACATCGGCAAAACGTTTCTCTTTGAGGACTTTTTTCATCCAGGGAAACAACAAAACAAGTTGCTCAGGGCAAGATTGGGGGAATAGGGAGTGGTGGGGCATAGGAGTTGTGTTTTTGGTCAGAAACTGCTGAACACTCAGTGTGGTGTGGGTATGTACACTCGTAAATCACCCACCATGAAATGGGCAAATGTGTCGAAAGCATCTCCAAAAAAATTCACTGAAGCCAAGTGCAGCCTCTCACAACAACTCCAACTGGTATACTGAGGCCAATGGGTTCCCAGAACACTTTCCTAGTGGGGAAATCCTGTCCTGCAAGGGGCCACCCCCCGAAAGGGAATTCCGAGGCTTTTTTTGTCCCCCCCACCCCCGCCCCCCGTATGTGTCCTTTTGTGTCCTTGAACCTTTTACCTTGTCCCGCCCATGGTAACACTATAAAACTACAGCACAGCATCTCAGGCAGGATGCTGACACTGATACAGGCAAGACACAGAACGTTTCCATCTCCCAAGCTTGCCTCCTGCAGCCCATGTGTAGCCACATCTGCTTTCCTCTCACTCCCAAGAAAGTAAGTTATTTTGTTGGACAGAGCTTTTTTTGCAAATAGAAATGTTGTATTTCATGTGTACAACTTGATGTTTTATTATACATATCCACTGTGAAATAGTCACCACAATCAAGCTAATTAACAGACCCATCCTCTCTCTCTCTCTCTCTCTCTCTCTCTCTCTCTCTCTCTGTGTGTGTGTGTGTGTGAGAGTGTGTGTGTGTGAGAGAGAGAGAGAGAGATAACACTTAAGATCCACCCTCTTAGGAGATTTCGAGGATACCCCAAATGGTTTTTAATTTTGCGTTTAAGCCCATGATCCATTCTGAGTTCTTCTTTACATGAGGGGTAGGATCTCATTTAAGCTGTCTGTCTGCCCTCCTTTCTCTTACACGACTGTGGTGTCAGTAGGTGGGCATCACCTTGTTGCTGCTGGGTCAGGGCGAAGCCCAGGTCCCTCACCTGGCCCCCACTGACATCGAGGACAGCCGCCTCTTAGGGCTCCTGCTGTGGGGCTCCCCATGTGGACTCCACTGGCGCCATGGCAGGGGCAGCCTGGTGAGGGCGGGCCCAGGCTCCCCACTTGGCCTTTGCTGGCACAGGCGGGGTGGAGCTGCCGTTTCTCTGGGGTGTTGGCTGGAGGAGCTGGGTTATCGTGGAAGTTTTCTGTCTTGCTAGTCAGCCCCTTTCCAAGAGTGAGCAGGCTTCTGTGGGCACTCTTTTGTCTTTGCCTGTTGGAGTTCCAGGTTGCTGGCTTCCTCAGCTCTGTATCTGGGGTCCAGGAGGCAGAAAGCTCACCCACAGCCCCACAGGTCCCAGCCAGTGTTTACCTTCTGGGTCTTCTTAGGGTTCCTGTACTGCCGATGTAAGTTCGGGAATCTTACTTATACTTAGCAGGAGGCATGGGGAGAACGTGTCTACTCCATCTTCCGAAGCGGAAGTTCTCCTCGTTCAAGGTGAAGCAGCTTTCGCTTGTCTTTGTCTTCCTTGCTGGGCTTAGCTCTGTGGTCTTAGTGGACGCTCAGGCAATCTCTGGCTTCACTGAACATGACTCTCTCTACTGGAGCTGTAGCAGTGATGGCATCCTCATTTGGCCTGCTCGCTCCAGGAATGGTCCGTGGAAGGGTTGTAAGTGCTTTAGGCTACTGAGGTTAGACAGAACATGACCGAGTCCTGTTCACCGGAGGGTCAGTTCATTTTCTGAGAAGCAGATCAGTGCTGTCGAGGTTCTTTGCCCTTCTGGTAGTAAACAAAACAGAATGCCTTACATGTGGTTATTTTGTAGGCAAATTCAACTGGAAGGGAACTATTAAAGCAATTCTGAAACAGACCCCGGACAACGAAATAGCACTCAAAAAGCTAAGGAAAAAGGTATGGTGTGTGAACAAACCCAGGCATACAGCGGGGTTTCTTTTTTTCTAATCTAAAATACTGTAAGAGTGTGTGTATGTATCTTTGTGATTTTCGAGCTGCCCCATAGTCCTTGGGTCTGTGGGGAAGGAACTGGGCCAAAGTCCCTCTCACAACCTCAGCCCTGGAGTGGGTGCTGCGTAGATTTTAGACTTGTTCATAAGACTTTGAAAAGGGCCTCCATTTACTCAATTTTTATTGTGTTTGAAAACTGTTCTTCTGTTTGCTCTCTCTGGCTTATTTCTGCCTTTTATCTTGAACTTCATGTCTCAGGATGACACATAGGCAGTCAAGTGCTCATATGTGTACAGCTGTGTGGTTTTCACTAGCAGAACACACTTGTGCAACCAGCACTGAGTTTCTTTTATTGTTTACCGCTGGCCTACTTCTGGGTTAAGAAAGAACATTTTAAGATAAATTGGGAGGACAAATAACCCATTGGATGTTTGTTTTTCTCTATGAAGGTTTTAACTCAGTATTACACAGTGACAAATGAACATCACAAATCCGAAGAGGAACTCCTGGTTGTCTTTAACAAGAAAATCAGCAAGAACCCCACCTTTAAGTTATTAAAGGACAGAGTCAAGCTTGTAAAATGAACATTTCTGTGTTTTAAAACTGAATCCATTCTGTTGACTTCTTTCTTTCACTGCTGTTGTAAAATATGTAACGAATCATAACAACTCAAACTTTGTCTTCTGTAGCTGTATTTTAAGTTAAGGAAAAATATATTTTTGGTAAAACTTCTATGAAAAAATAAAATATATTATTACCCCAAATTCTAAGTTTGTGGTGGCAAAAATTATTGTACTTCAGAAAATACTTTTGTTTGGAAAATTTTAAGTCAAAATAATTCTTCCTTTGCTCATACTAAAAAGTACTCATCTTGAGCACATCATTTCTTCACATTTTGGATGAGAGATTTTGTTTTGCCTTTGTTTTTCACGTTAAGATGCGTGTGCGAGTTGTATTTGATCAAGGAGTGGCTGTGACAACAGTGTGTGTGTGAGCCCCAAAGTACATACTTTTTGAAGAGGCTTCGCTGTAACAGGTTCGCACATCCACACTGTGGCCCGGTCTGCCTTCAGCCAAAGACAGGTTTGTCCGTGGCTGGACTTGGGAGTGTGGCCTGTGACCGGATGCAAGGGGTACAGGGACGTGGCTCACTGGAGACTGATCCATCCTGCAGCTGCGGTGCCGCTCCGGTGCTTGACTGACCGGAACGCCTTCAGAAACTGCACTCTGGGTCCTGGCTCACTGCACTGAGGAGAGCGGTGTGCTGCCCTTTTTGATGGTCAAACAGGGTTCACCCTCAAGTCCCTTAAGCACCAGTGTTCTGGTGAGAATCGCCCCGTAGCCAGTGTCACTAATACCTCATCCTCTAAGTGGAAGCAAGACTGGGACGTGTGTCAGCGTTGAAAGGATTAGGAGGGAGTGGAAGAGTGGATGGAGCCGCTGCATGCCCAAGCGAGCCCCAGGAGCCAGCCTCTTTCTAGGACCTGCCGGCCAGGCCAGGCTGTACCCTGGCTCAGTTCCGACCTGGGAATGTGCAATATGTAATGATGCCATGGAGCAGCACTGCATCAGAATGAATAGGACACGGGCTGGAATCAGGCCTGGCTTTGTCTCATTGGTCAACCTCTCTGAGCCTCACCTTTCTCATCTGGACAACGGAGATAGCGAAGGTTCTGAGTGAATTGATTGTTCATATAAGGAACATGGCACCATCCCTAAAACCCAGCTGCTACAAACCATGTGATAGTGGTTGCTATCACTACTGTTGTTATAACCATTTATTTCTTAAGAGACAGGGTTTCACTCTGACCCCCAGACTGGAGTGTAGTGGCATGATCATAGGTTGGAGTGGCAGCTTCAGCCTCTTGGGCTCAAGTGGTCCTGTCTCAGCCCCCAGAGTAGCTGGGAATACAGGCATGCGCCACCATGCTCAGCTAATTTTTTAATTGTTTGTAGAGATGGGTTCTTGCTGTGTTGCCCAAACTGGTCTCGAACTTCTGGCCTCAATCCTCCCACCTTGGCCTCTGGGATTACAGGCGTGGGTCACTGTGCCCGGCCAATAGCAGTCTTTGAGCCACGAGAAGCTTCAGGCATTCTGGAAAGCAAAGGAAAAAGTGGAGAATGGAAGCTTGACTCAGACCACATGGCTAATTAGGGACAAAACCAGGGCAAAACTGTGCCTCCTGGGTCCTGTCCAGGGCATCTTTGTGCTCCAGCGCTACAGGGAGCAGAGGGTACTCCACTGTCCTCACCAGGGCATGGTGGGGAGGTGTAAAACCACCCCATGAGTATCAGATGATGTACAAGCACCTCTGTCTCGAAGTTGTGATTTTTATGTGTCTGTCAAACGTACCTGTATCAGTTTTACTTTGATACCTCTAAGGCCAAGTTTGGCAAATGTTACACAATTGAAATGTATACTTAACACTGGTAGTATCCTCACTTCTGTTGTCCTTGCCAGCCATGACTTAAGGTTCTCGAGTTAGAGCTGGGTGTGATGGCTCACACCTGTAATCTCAGCATTTTGGGAGGCCGGGGCGGGAGGATCACTTGAGGCCAGGAGTTTGATTCCAGCCTGGGCAACATCGTGAGACCCTGTCACCATAAGAAATTTTTAACTACCTGGGTGTGGAGGTTCACGTCTGTAGTCCCAGCTACTCAAAAGACTGAGGCAAGAGGATCACTTCCGTCCAGGAGGCCAAGGCTGTAGTGAGTATGATTGCACCACTGCACCTAGCCTGGGTGACAGACCAAGACCCCGACTCTTATTTTTTATTTATTTTTATTTTATTTTATTTTATTTTTGAGTTGGAGTCTCACTCGGTCACCCAGACTGGAGTGCAGCGGCCGCTCCCGGCCACCGCAGCTTCGACCCGCAGGGCTCCGGCGATCCTTCCGCCTCAGCCTTCCGAGTAGCCGGAATTACAGGTGTGTGCTACCACGCTCGGCTGATTTTTTGATTTATTGTAGAGATGAGGTCTCGCTGCCCAGGCGGGTCTCAAACCCGCGGGCTCAGGCAACCCACTCACCTCAGCCTACCAAAGGCGCGGGATTACAGGCTGAGCCACCGAGCCCGGCTGACTTTTTAGAAAAAAAAAAAAAAAAGAGGGAGAGAACTTCAGACAGCACTGTGCAGCGAAGGGGAAGGCCATGCTGTTCAGGAATTCCAGCAGTGCGTCCATCCTGCCGAGTCTGGCTGGGGTGACCTCTCAGTTCCTTCAGCCCCACAAGGTTGAGGAAGCAGGGCTAGCCATGGCAGTTCATCAGACACTGCCCTTGGTGGTAGGAAGGTCCAGCCACACATGCAGTTGCCCCCAAGTTCTGGCTGCAAAGCACGACCCACGGGTCATTCCCAAAGTCCTTGCACAGAGACTACGCTTTTCAGTTTTGGCAGTTGCCCGCCTGACTTGGATTCTTTAATTTTAATTTTTTGTAGAGATGGGGGGAGTGTCCTGCTGTGTTGTCCGGGCTGGTCTTGAACTCCAGGTCTCAAGCTCTTCTTTTGCCTTCACCTCCCAAAGTGCTGGGATCAGCGTGAGCCACTGCGCCCAGCCATGACTTGGATTCTTAAACGCACATAATGAAGCTCCAGGTTTCTTTAGAAACGGTCTAAAGACATTCTTGTAAGCCTTCACTGATGAGTGTAAGATTGAATTCTACCATGTTCTGCTTGTCCTCAGGCTGGTCTGATGGGTCTGACACTCAGGTATCCCCATACCTGACGGGGATGCATTTTGGCATTCTGTGGTGGTCTTATCTTGATGCTGTTTTCTGGGGCATTCCTGGCAGCTGTCAACAGTGTATACTAGCCATTTTCCATGATGCTGTTTCATAAGCAAGATTTGGGAGAAGATGGGCTCCGTCAGTCTCCAAAAGATTAAGATGTGTGACTGTTGCATGCTGGACCCTCTTGGTGTTGGGCATGCTAGGCAGTTTGCACTCCTGGAGGAAGCTGAGACTCAAGACAAATGGGAAGCCAAGGAGGGAACCAGGGCTGCCCTGCCCCCTCACCTGGCCAAGACAGCCGACTCAGACTGACCAGAAGTCAAAAGAATGCGAATGGCTGATAACAGAAGGACATTTATATCGAGAAAGCTTAAAAATTCCAGTCAAGTTTTCATCTTGGCAAAGTAAAATACCTCTCTGAGGAACTGAAGCTTTTTCAGAACCCTAGTTCTAGTTTCTACTTTTTTTTTTTTTTTTTTTGAGTTGGAGTCTCACTCTGTCGCCC